ATTCGTGTTTTATTTTGAAGGAATTAATTTATATTATACATCTTTCACTCTTTCTATATTATCTCACAATTAGATAGGTGCTCTAAACAAAAAACTCATTATCAAAACATGATTCATGATGGTATCAGCTGATACCACAGTGGAAATAAGAGTAAGAGCAAATAAGAGTGCTACGCGCTCACGTCTACGGACTCACGCCTTGTGCACGATTTGCTCCGGTATAGTGCTGCATCAAGCGGCCAATGATAGAAATACATAGTGCGAATACAGATATGGTGCTGCTATAGTACGAACCATGTACCATGTGTGTCTCAAAAATATTTTACAATGTGGTAAAATGGGGTTTCTGAGATCATTCGAAGTAACTTTTTGCTTAGCAAAAATACAATCCGCGGCTTTATGTACAAGTTATTAACGAGAAACAGTGACCAATGAGAGGCGAGATCAGCTGTCGCGCGGCGGAAGCCCAGTTCCGCTTATTGGCTCAGCCGCCTTCCTGCGCTCGTTGATTGGGTCTCCTCGCGCCAGCTGAGCTCGTCTCTTATTGGTCAGTGTTTCGCGTTAATAACTCGTAAACAAAACCGCGGATTGTATTTTTGCTAAGGAAAAAGTGAAAATAAATACTATCATTAAATACTATTATAAAAATATAAGAGACCACGGGAAACAAAAATAAGTGTAGCTTATGTCGCTACAGTTCGCTGTTTTGCTTGCAATCAGTTTGGCTTTACTCAGAATAGTGGGAATGGTGTTGCATCGGCACATGGTTTAGCACAGTGCACCAAATGCGCATGCAAGTGAGCAGCCATATTGAATTTTAGTTCGTTCAAGTCTGTAGCTACATCAGATAGCAGTCGAAAAAGTCAAAAAAGTCCCTCACTTTTCCCTATAGAGTTGGCGGTCCCTGGTTTAAAGCTTAGACTAGCTTAGACTTAGACCATATACTTATGCTCGAAAAAGTACACTCTATACCCCTACTCTAATGTATAATAATTACGAATCTTATTACTGTATCCTCTATCCCATGTGCGATACATAACCTTACAGGTAAATAGAACATTTGAATACACGTGTATACAATCCATTTGCAGGACGTACCTAAATTAATACGGTAAAGTAATACGTTAAAGAAGCAAGATGCAGCATGACGATGTAAGTATGTTTCACGTAACTTATCAAAAATTTTGCGTTTAATCTAACCTTAAATTATTTCAGGTCGTGTGGAGTGTTATCAACAAATCTTTTTGTTCCTTTAAAGTAAAGTATGTATATTCAAGAAGAAAAATGTTAATCATTTACCAAACGTTCATCTCATTTGATGTTTTCGTTTTTCAGCACCAAAACACAGCGATTTTGTCGAAATGAATATAACCTTACAGGTTTATGTAGCAGGGCATCTTGCCCCCTTGCAAATAGTCAGTACGCTACAGTACGGGAAGAAAATGGCATTATTTACTTGTACATGAGGACTGCGGAAAGGTAAAAAAGTTGATGGTATTGTTACAACTCTAAGCTTTTCCGGTTTCATTATATTGAACGATATATTGTAGGTTGTGTTTAAATTTATATAAACATTCATAGTCTATGAAACGAGTTCATTGCTGTGTAATATCTCTTTGAAACCATTGATTTGCAGAGTACATTTTCCAAAAAATGCTTGGGAGAAAATCAAGCTTTCTAGAAATTTTGAAAAAGCTATACTTCAAATCAATGAAAATTTGTTATATTGGCCAGGTTTTATAAAAGCGAAATGCAAACAAAGATTTGTGAAAATTACACAATACCTGATACGTATGAGAAAATTAAGATTACGAAGACAAAAACAAATTGTACCAATACAAAGGAAAATTGAAAGAAGAGAAAGACGGAGAGAAGAAAAGGCTCTGGTTGCTGCAAGATTGGAAACAGCAATAGAGAAACAACTTATGGAAAGGTTGAAGCAAGGCATGGTATGTACATATGTTGAGTTTAATTATATCCGTGTAAGAATACTTACATTCTACATGATTATAGAATTATTAATTTTTTTTCCAGTATAATGATATTTACAATTTTCCACAAAAAGTATTTGATAAAGCTGTGGAAGCTGTTGAAGTTGAAGGCGAAAGCGAAGCTGAAAGCGAGCAGGAAGAAGAAAGAGAAGAAGCAATTGAGAAGGAAGTAGAAATGGAATTAGAAGCAGACGAGAAAAGAAAAGAAACCAACGAACCACATTATGTGGAAGCAGAAAGTGATGAAGATGATGATTTTGATGTCGATGAATTATCTATAGTAACTTTTATTTTCATAAATACATAAAATATTTCATTCTTTTCGGTTTCGTAATACACAGAATGTATTGAAAATCGTGGTACAACCGGGCAGGAGGTGATTCTACATGTAAAAATAGATCAAAGAAAAAGAATAACGGTATGGCATCTAAAGCTCCGTTTAAAAAAAAATCAGGTTGAAAAAATAATACTATTGAAAATCAAGTGACGTGTCTGGACATGCCATACCAATTCTACTTTTGGTCATACTACAAGATACGCGAACTTAACGTATCTTTCACGTTAGTTTTCTCAGAAACAAAGCCTTAAATGAAATAATGTTACTCCTTTGTTTCACTTTATTGCATGTAGAATCACTACCCGACTGGTTGTACCACAATTTTCGCTACACTCTGTATACATATGCATAGTTTAAAAGATGCCTACGATTTGATGTATCTGTTTCCATAGGGTGAGGATAGCGATTCAGGACGCAAAGAAGAAGTTGAATTGTCCAGTGATTTTGAATCTGATGCAAGCGATGTTGAAGTAATAAATTCAAATTTTGTATCTGTTTAAAGATGTATTGCAAGATACAATTGAGTTTAAATACGATGTATTGTTACAGGATATGCTACCTTCAACCAGTAAGAAAACAAAATCAGCAAAGGTCACAAAGAAGGGTAAAACTCAAAAGAAAGCTCGTCCGAAAGTTGAAATTGAATACGAAGTTGAAGACGACCTGCGACAGAAAGAACGAACGTGATACTTATTTTAATTAGATTAATTGCAATTGTATTTTAAATAAAATACTATTTCTACAATACTAAAAAATTCGTGTTACTTACGAGAACGAATCAGTCATTTATTCAGAACGTATCAGTCGTCAATAACGAAAAATTTAAAATTCGCGCCAATAGATAAGTGTTCAAAAGGAATATATGTATGTACACATATACATATGTAAGCATACGAATCATAGATGGCATTCGAATATAAAAAAATTGTGTGGACTAGCGTGGGACTAGCAGACGACATGTTTGTACACAAGAAATAAGGTAAACTTTTTCAATTTTTCTCATGAAAATTATAAATGGATATGGGTGAGTTGTGTTTACTGTCGTAACTATAGTTACATGAATAAGTTAAAATTGGTGGTTTTATTTGTTTTGTAACAATGCAGAAAAGCTATGTCATAAATGTACATTGCAGTACATATGTATGTACATGAGACCAATTATGCGTATACTGTGTATACTTGTTTACATACTTCATGTACGGTATACATATCATAATATACCAACAGACATAGACTTGTCTGGAAATGTATCATAATGATCTGCTGCAACGCTTGGATAAAATTTACATGTATCATGAAATAAACAATTGTCAGTTAAACACATATCTAACACGTTGTTATGCAGGTATTTTTATTCAAATAGAATAATTTTTTTTAATGGCATGCAATGTGTGGAGGCAGTAGGTGTACGATAACTCGCTGTCTGTCAAATGCATAAATTAGGGAAGCTTTTACATATGTTCAATCTTCGTATTGTGTAAACGAAGTTCGGTTATTTTATTACGAGCATCGTACAGACGTACTGAATTTCATTATAAATTGCCTGCAGCCATATGTCACGAACTCCGTGTTACCCGTCACAGTGCCTTTTGTTTGCTATAAATAGAAAAAGTAGGTTATCCCTAAAATCAATTCCGAAAATAGGACAGTTAACTGAATATGTTTATCGTTTTGAATATACCACTTTGCGGCAGTGAACTTATTTATTCCAATTTCTATCATCTCCTAAAAATACTCCTTCCCGTTTGTATACACAGTGATGCATTTTGTATAATTCACTTGATGCAAAGAATTTACATTAATTACTGTATATTAGCAAAGCAATATCCCATTGTGGTGTAATTACAATCGTGTTCTATGTCATTTGTTGCAATAGTGTACAATGATGGTTGAAAATGATTTCAATTAATAATTTCCTCAAATGTTGAAGGTATGAGATAATTATTCAAGGATTTCCCCTAAACAGAACATATAAAAATTGTAATACTATTGTTAAATGTTCTCCAGAAGATAGTTACTACTGAACAATTTGTACAAGGGTTTCAAACAACATTTGAATGGCGCATACAGATTAATATTGTATCTTTAATGTAATGTATGTCTTTCTATTTCAGGCATATTATGAACTCGAAAGAACACTAGGAAACTTTCAATCGTATTTAAAGTAAGGCTTTATTATGGTGGTAACGTAGCCAGAATCTCTGAAGGTTTCTTCTTACTTTGTATATCATCATGGAGCTAAACAATGTGGGAAGCAACAAGAACTCAATATATATGGCAATATCGCTTAAAAAATTATGTATAGCAACAGTGTCTTTGCCACTTGTTACTTTGTTAGTCTGTTTCATTACGGGATATATCTTCCAGCAGGATGACATTCATGAAACGCACTGTAGGGTACGATCATTGATATATTTGATACTACATTATATACTGATGGCTATTAATCATTAGAAATCTTTCTATTACACTTATTCTATACACACTATTTCTATAAGGAATAAATATTTTCAATTTAGGTCTATAATGTACTTCCATCGATATCAGCCATTACTGGTATTTCTCCGCAGAGATATTTGTGGCGTGTAACTATTGCATTACACATTGGTCCTCGCCTAATTATTGCTAGCGTTTACTACTCCTATTATTATAATATACTCAAAGCAATCGACGATGTAACTTTGAAGATTAAAGGAAGCAGACTTTTAAATTTATGTTATTGGCTCAGCATAGCAGAAGTGGCAACCTTGTGTGGTGTTACATACATCTCCAACAGAGAAAATTATTGTAAGTAAGATTATATATATATGTATTTACTCCTATTAGTTTCCTGACTCATGATTTCGTATCTAATAAAATTCTGTCCACAGCGGTTCATGAAAAAATCTTCATTGGCTTTATGATTAGTTCCTTGACATATATGTTAACAGCGGTAAGGCTGAGTCGCCTTATAACACCGAATGCACCAAGTCTTCAGTATAAACAGGCACTTTTTGTAACAAGTCTTATTAGTACTATTGGACTTATTGTGTTTTTCTTAAAACACAGACTGCTCTGCCATGATTTGGGTAAGAAAACTTGTATCTCTTTTGTATTGAAAATTATACATAATATATATATCTCGATAATGACTACATATGAAACTTATTATAATATTTTTTTTAACAGCATTTAGTTGGTTTTCCTTGTGCGAATATGTGATTGCCTCTGCAAACATGGGTTTTCATGTTACCGTAGTTCTAGACTTTCCCAAGGAACAGCTGGTTGTTGGGAATGGTTTACCAACCTTAAAGGTGGAATAACTCCTTATGATATTTTATATTTATCATTATCCTATTATTGTCATCAAAGTGCCTACTGCCACTGTCTGGAAGTGCTATTGCCAAGAGTTAAAAGTATGTATGTCATATTATATAATGCTGAGTATCCACTGGTAAATACTGTTGAAAACTTTTTAACAAAACATCTTTCTATGCAAACAGGTTTAAAATAGTTCGTACCAAACATTTTATATGTACAGTGGTTTCGATGATAAACAGTGTGCTTATATCCAATATAAGCTGAAAGTAAAAATTTCACATAACTATCGCTTCTAAATTTCTCTTATTTTCCAAATAAATATAGACATTGCAAAGAATCTAATTACTTGATTTGATAAAGGACAAGTTATGTTTATTAATTTCTTCACTATTGTCAGATAATCAGTTTGCGATGACTGTCATTGCTATTCTAAATTCTTGAGAAAAGTCTCTTTCGTTCATTTATGGTAAATGTCAATTATTCTGATTATTTATGCACTATGTCCAGGCGATGTTAGAGCATGCATCAATATAATGTATATCGAATTTTTAATAATTGATTATGCTCCCCATACAGGAGTCTTTCTTCCATAATTTTTAATTTTTTTTACCGTCGTTTTTCTTTTTATTATCTACTGAATATATACGTTTATTTTAAAATTTCGAAATTTATTGTACTGGTAAGAATAACATGATACAGAAATTATTTTTTTCGCAACGATCTTAAATCTCGCTCATCTTTCCTACAATGGTTATAATCAAAAGATATTGAAATTTGGATGCTACATTTATATACACATGCAACAAATATTTCTTACATCCAACTATCTAACCGAAACGACAAAATGTCGACAAGTGTTCAAAAATTTTTTACATATTGAGTGGATACACAGAAGAATGATGCACAAAACAAAAATTTCTCCGATTGACTCATGTTTACTTTAACAAAAACAAACAAAAAAAGTGAAAAAAAAGAGAAAGAGAAAAACCAGTTTGACTATATGGTACACTCTAAATAGCTTTTTTTTTTGACAACATAAATTCTGATGTTGTTTATTTTGAACTAAAACACAAAATAGGTATCTTCCAGTTATTTTCGAAATAATCGACAATGGCACAATTAAAATGCTAAAGCAAAGAATCTAGCGCTTCCAAAGTATGGCATTGGTATCTTCCCAGGCAATGAAATCTTTAATGGCCTTTTAGGTAGTGGAAACTTGTAGCGATACTAGAGAAATATGTATCCTACATCCGAACAATATAAAATATTACAGAGTCAAAAGAAACGAAAAGAATTAGGATGTCTGATTTCTGTATATAGTTTTTGTTTTTGAAAAAGTAAGTGCGAGCAATGGTAATAAAAGGGAAAGAGAAGGTCACGGCGAAAGCTGTTTTACAAAAATAATTTTAAAGTTGCTTCTGTAGAGGTTTTCCGTAAAGTGAGAATTCTAGTCAATAATATATTCTAGTCGTCGTGTTTTGATTTATTTGTTTAAAAATATTGTTACATGACATCATGAATTCTAATGCATTGTTAGTATGTAGGATGCATTTACATTGGCATGACTTTCATGTTTTATGAGGGTACATGCTTTACGTATGAAATAAGTGTACGCAATTTTAATTTAAGGTACTGTAGTAATATTGTCTAACATTGTACAGCTGTATATCATCAATATACATATTTCATTGTGTATAAGTAATACAACACGATTCGTACAGTGTGTAAAACATAAAACAATCGAACTATAACAGATTGTTCTGAACAAAGGTAACTCGTCCGATGGAACGAATCGTTACAGTATTATGTTGTGGATGTGAAAATTAATGCTTATGTTTCTATTTAATGTACGACTTGTGAGTGCAGCGACGATAACTATCGAAACTATAATTGGCGTACGTATGGTAACAACGTTAATAGAGAAAGAACATATAACATATGAAATCAATATTTATCTTGTATTATACAATGTATTCCTGACCAAAGCTCAAATAACGTCCAAAATTGTACAACAACATTGTGGAATTCGAATAATTGTTCGCATAAAATTTTACATTTGAAAACCAGTATACTTTGTCAAAGTTTCCATGCTTCACTTTGAGCATTGAACACAACAATATGAAACTGAATGGAACGCAATGAAACGCAGTGAAATGGAATGAAACGAAAAGAAACGAAACGAAATAAATATGTGATAAAACACATTGCTTTAGACGACCGAATCAGTTTTATAAATTCGTATAAATGCTACTAACGCTTACAAACGCTAGGTGAATGCGCGTGTCACACAGTGTTACAGCAGTGTGTGACATATTATTGACAAAATGTGTCCTGTACACATGTTTTCATTGCAGATACTGACAAAATAGATCCTTGATAACGTTTGCGTAGGGGTGTCATTATTGCATATTTTTCATATCTCTGTTTTCGAGTTTCTTCTTCTTCTTCATAGTAAAAGTAATTGTTCGACTGTTCAATTGTGTTGAATCCTTTGCCTTGGAATAGATAGAAATATCATCAAAAATTCTCCCTAATTGACCTCCAGCTTGTACACAGAAATAGGCAATTTGGGAAGAAGAGATACGATTATCCCAGCCTTGCGGTTCGTTTTTATAGTTACCAACTGTATCGTCAACAACTATAAAAACGTGGTGCAAGGCTCGAATAACCGTATCCCCTCTTCTCAAATTTCTATCTATTTTTGTGTACAAGCCGAGGGCCAATTAAGGAGAATTTACTGTATTTTTCATTTCTTTCTACCAATATATGGCTTCCTAATAATATTTGGAAATCTTTTGGCTTTTAATAACCAGTTTAGACTTGTTTGTAACCACAATGGAGAAACAGTTAGTTTCTCTTGATGTAACTTTCAAACATTCGAATCCGTGCCAAGTGATGTATTCACAATACCATCATCCATCAACATGCATACCTAGATACAATGTGCGTTCATCGTATTTGCGTGAAATTTGTCGTGCTACATGGAAATCTTCAACTAGTTCACGATGTACGCTTAGCCGATTTTATTTATTTTCCTCGTACTCTCCGTGCAATCATTTTTTTTTGCATTTATTTATAGCAGACGTTTTTCTTGTTTGAGGATAGTTCAGTGAATATTTAACGAATATCTATGGATATGTGTAGCATGCTTACGAGTAGGGCAGTCTAAATATGATATCTACGTGCTGCGGACTCTAAAATTAAAACTATCCTAAAAGTACAGTAGTGGTAAATCATTTCAAAGAGTTTGCAAAAACGATTTATTATATACCGTATTGCACATACACACACACTTATATATACATATATACATATATATGTATATATGCATACATACACACATATTATATACATAGAAACGTACGTACGTATAAGTAGAGCGTTGAGAAAGCATTGTGACTTATTATTATTTGTTAGTTGCAATAACAAAAATAATAAGAGGAATAATAAACGTAACGATAGTGATAGTGGTAATGATGATGATGACGATAATGATAATGATAATGATGCCGATGATGATGATGATGATGATAATGATGATGATAATAACCGTAGTAATCACAGTAATCTTAACGATAATATTAGGCTGGTACTTATTTTGTAATATAGTTTAACGCGACACTCTCGGGTTGCATTACAGCGGCCCGAAAAGATAAAGAAGCCTGATAGGGTTTATGTGAAGTGTCGCATGTATAAGTGCCAGTACACTATGCAAAGTTAGATCTCTTTACCATCGAGCATGATCACTCGGACAAACAAACGATTACGATGTTTACGCGATGTACCAAGTACATTCGTTGCGATTTCATCGTTACCATCCGGTTTTGAAATGCTAACAATTCGAATGGTTCGGAACGACGCGAACAATTCGTACGATCCCATTTTCCTCGAATCTATTCTACGCGTTATATCGGATTTATAGTGCAATTTCACTTGCGAGGGTACCGCGCGACCTTAGGTGGCTGCCTGAAAGATACTCGTAGGTCAATCAATGGGTTGACATAGTGCAACGCGACACAAAGTAACCTTGACACGTGTCAGAATCTTTATTTAATTGATGTCAGCTACTTGGCACGACAACTCTGTCACGAATTAGGTTGAATGTCTCCTGCGGTTGAAACGGAGGCGTTTATTATTGTATGTAAAGCGTTCTCGAGCAGAGCGACTACACCGAAAAACTACAATGTAATTAACAATTATGTTTACAGTAGATTTAAGCCGACTGCGATGCGGAGATGAAGGGAGGTATCGATAATCGCTTGACTCGCACCTTATTCCGAGCAACTGTATGTTGCATTATTATTATTATTGTTGTTATTATTATTATTATTATTACTATTATTATTACTATTATTATTACTATTATTATTACTATTAGTATTATTACTACTACTATTGTTATTATTTTACGATACGATTGTATTAATAATAATGCAAGTAAGTACACGAGGTGAATACCTCTCTAAAGATAGAGCGATACGTTAGGTACGACGAGTCTACGATCAAAGGCGCACCATAGTCAATGTAGGATGACTTTCTGTCGCGATCGTCATTTAAGATATCAAGTACCGAATTGCTTGGAACCGCGGAACATAGCATGGTTCCGCGAACGCGCGCTGTGCTCGCGCGCATCGCGATCATAAGTTTCTCCTATGGATATCATTATCTACACGTCAATTTTTCTCGTTACACGCATGCCTGCACCGTTAGCGCTTCAAACGCTATCAATAGCTTTTTATTACCACTTGAGTATTATACATAACGAGTATATTAATAGCGAAACTTTTGGAAGAACAAACTTCAAAGCTAACACGAACGATTAACGTATAACGCCGGGAAAAACGTACGAGCATGTTAGAAAGATGCGTTCACACCCTCTGAGTGACTACTAATGAAGAATTAGCGAGAGAAAAATTGATGAAAATCTTAAAACGACAAAAAAAAAAGAAGAAGAACTACCGACTCGATTTTTAGGAAATCGACGATACCCCCGCGACGCGATTAATAGTTCTCTAGAGTATAGTAATATTTGGTTGTGAGCCGATGTTATCTTTTACGTGATTGTTATCTCTAAACAAAGTATATATTTTTTGTCTTTGTGTAAACGATTTAGGAAGTTTGCGTGCAAAGAACGAGCCTCGTATATAGTATTTATAGCACTTTTTGTATAGTTCAGACTTTATTGAACTGAATCGAACACACACAGCAATAATGACACTATTATGAAACCGACTATGAAAAGCAACAAGAAAGAAAATAATAAACATATCGAAACGAGGGTATAAACGACTCGTGGGAAAGGCAACGGTAATTTTCGCGAGATATTCGCTTCGACGACGAAACACGCTCTTGTACGGCGAAAAATTAGAAAAATGCTTCGGTCTGCTGTTCGCCGAGTCAAGGAATCCGGAAAGAAATTTGTACGCGGATATTCTTGCTACCAGCTCGCGGATGTTATTCCTGGGCGCATATTTTTCAACATAATTTTGCTACCGAAACACTTTTTCTGATTTTAGACGAACGAACGAACGAACAAACGAACGAACGTAAAAACGGATTTCACTTCTTCGACACGAGATTAATTCCAATGACCGATGGTTCTGTGATAATAAGCATAAATGGCTGTCTTACGTTTCTACGATGGTTTATCGGGTATTTAGCTGTTCTTGCATCGGGTACTTGAAATTCGAGGTATATGTACGTTGTCGCTGAGAAATGCACCTTTCTTTGTCTTCGGAACAGCATCTACTGGGCAACGAGAAAAGCTTTTCGCGATTTCTCCGAGGCGGCTTGATTTTGTTCGATTCCGCGTAATCCTTCGCGCAGCTCTTCTCGTTCGAAATTCGTGATCCAATTTCGGTGTCGTAAAGAACATTTACTATTACATTTTACTATTCGGAAACGACGATTGATGGATACGATGCAAGAACCAAAGACACGATTTCGTCGGCCAATATTTCAATATTGACTATTGAATATTGATATTATATTATTATTATTATTATTATTAATATTGATATTATTATTATTATTAATATTGATATTATTAATATTGGTAATATTGATATTATTATTAATATTGATATATAATTATTATTATTATTAATATCGATAATATTGATATATTATTATTATTATTAATATCGATAATATTGATAATATTGATATTATATTATTATTAATATTATTGATAATATGGAATATCGAATATCGAAAGCCGCAAAGTTGCATAATTGTTGCGACGATTGCGCGAGAATTGTGTCGAAAAATTGAGATTTGATTCCGTGAATGTTGCTCTAATTTTGACGAAGTTTGCGGAAGTGGAGATTGTAAGGAGCGAGGGTATTGCGGAGAAGTACCAAACTAGTGTATACCGTAACCGTAACCGTAATCGTAACCGTAACCGGACAATTTCCCCGAGGGGGGACAAGAAAATTGAATAAACTTTGCTTCTGTAGAATACATTTCGTTGTTTCGAGTATTGTAGTCGTAGGCGTAGGTGGTAGCCCGATCGATCGAAATTTTCTATTATTTCGAAACAACCCTCTTATACACATACTTCCACAGAGTAGCCGCATACATACGAATAAATAGGTATACCTGGAGTGAAGTACATGCTGCTATTATTTTTGTAGATTGATTTACAAGATGAGATTGACAAAAATATACAAATTCCACAAACATTTGGTTCCGTTATTAATTTATGTTACAGAAGTTCCATCAGTCTCGATTAGAAAGACGTACCTTCGTTGCGTTAACGGCGGCGGCCGCCGCACAAAGTTCGCGGACTATATAGTTATAAAATAATTGTTCCCAGATTCGTTATACATTAATATTATTTATTATTGTAATATTATATATTATAATATTAATATTATAATATTATATTAATTAATATTATAATATATTATATATTATAATAGTAATATTATAATATTATATTAATTAATATTATAATATATTATATATTATAATATTATTATAATATATATTATTGTTATAATATTATATATTATTTATATATTATTACATTAAACCCAGACCTGTACGAAACAGGCGTTCACGCGCTCCATAGATTAGACATAATTCTTCGACTTGTATTCTAATTCTTGTAGGCTAACATGTACGTGTACGTAACATAAATTGAATTGACACGTAACTTGCGGCGATCTGTAATTCTTTATCACCTCGGCCGCGTATTCGATTCTCTTCTCTCGCACGCATCTTTGAACGCGTCGCGTCTCGGCTCGGCTCGTCCCGTACGCACGATCAATTCGAGCGAAAGTGATCGAGTATATGACGCCTGATGAAAACTTTGGCGTGGTTGCCGAAGGTAATTGAACTCTGTTGACCCTAACGCGCAGAGAACGAACGCGAGAAAACGGACTGAGAAAGCGCGACAATGACAGAGACTTTTCTGCAATTATTACGGGAATATCGATCGCATCACGAAACCTTGTCAATTATTAGAAACGTCGCGTCTACCATCGACTCCTGATTTTCCAACGTCTTGCTTCTATTTATGGAAACGGGATAATTTATCATTTTGTTGCACTTGTTATGCGAGGGCCGTCTCATCTACAACTGTATAACTGGTCCAGCCAACGCAGCCTGCACTACGATCAGAGCGATTTCTCGCAGAAACGAGCTATCAGATTCGAACTCTCTCTCTCTCTCTCTCTCTCTCTCTCTCTCTCTCTGGTGTCCCAAAAATGTCTCGCAATCCGGGAATGGCGGGTTCCTCGGATCATTTGAAGCAACTTCTTCCTTTACAAAAATGTTCTCCGACGCACCGTTAACGAGTTATCAACGAAAAACAGTGACCAATAAGAATCGAGTACGGCCGACGCGAGGCGGCCCAGGCAACCAGCGCGCGAAGCCCGGTTCCGCTCATTGGCTCGGTCGCCTCGCGCCAGCCGAGCTCGCCTCTCATTGGTCACTGTTTTTCGTTGATAACTCGTTAACGGTGCCTCGGAGAAAATTTTTGTAAAGGAAAAAGTTGCTTCTAACGACTCGAGGAATCCGCCACTTTCGGATTGCGAGACATTTTTGGGACATCCTGTATATCTATCTATCTCTACTAATCCTGCAGCACTTGATATATGTAGTCATTAGCAACGGTGTACACTTGCAAGCTTCGCTGCTACTTTCGAGACATTCGTATAACACGTACATGGACGCAATCCTTACATTCGTGCGTTTTACACGTTTTTCTAATTCTTTGGGAGAAATATCAAGATTGTTTTGTTACAACACGCGTTACCGAAAGTTTAGAGCCAATTCGTTTCTTCAATTGATTGGAGGATAGGCTCTGCATTTTGTTGGTCGACAGTGACGAATCCTTCGAATACGACATAACTTGATGGTTGCCGCTGTCGCCACCGCAAGTTTCTCGCGCAGCGCCTGCAAAATAACGATCCCCGATTATGTACAAGACGAAATTACAAGAGTTCGATAGGTCGGGTGAAACGTGAAGCGTTTACCGGGACAAGTTTTCTCGAAGCTGGTCGTATCATTTTTTGAAAGATATTCTTCCATTTTGACCGATTTGTCGACATTGATAGCACTTTTTTTGGCGGTATTCGTGTCGTTTCGTCGATAAAATTTCTTCGTGTTCTTCTCGTTTAGGATAAGATCACGATCTGCAGAAACTGTGTTGGCGCAGTTGTTACAGTGCCATACGATTCTAGGATCGTAAACATCGATGTCTACCACAGGCGGTTGGTGACACAAAGGATGGTAAACTTCTTGACAGTCTTGGCACTCCAATAAAATCAGTGGTCCCAATTTTGCACCGTTACATATCTTTTATAATACGAAAACAACGATAACAATTATAATTATTATTATAACTACGATAATAATAATTATTGTTATTACTATAATATTATAACTATATAGTTATAGTTATAGTTATATATAGACATATAACTATATATATATATATATATATATATAGTTATAGTTATAGTATTATTATTATAGTTATAATAATAATAATAATAATAATACTATAACTATAACTATATAGTTATAATATTATAGTAATAATAATAATTATTATATATATGTTGTTATAATAATAATACTATATAACTATAATAATATACTATAACTATAACTATATAGTTATAACTATAAATATAACTATACTATAACTATAAATATATAAATATAACTATACTATAACTATAATAATAATAATTATTATTATTATTTAATCAATGCGCGAAAATCCCCGTATGACAATAACATGACAATATGTCGCACAAATAGGATATCTAAAATAAGCAAAGAAGAAAGAAAAGAAGTGATACGATAAATGATAAAATAAGCGATCGAGATATTAACGTGAAAACGGAGAAAACGAAAGAGAATAATACAGTATGAGATCGTTGGAACAAAAACATCTTTTGTACATAATGTGTTACGATACAATATGTTGAATATAATATAATATAAAATAATATAGTATTACGTAGACGCGTGTGTATAAAAGTCGAAGGAACGGTAAACCGAGTTAACAATTCAACGCGAAGAAGCGAATAAAAACCTTGCAAAAAAGTCCGTCCCCCGATCCTTCATCCGGAATGGATATCCTCGGAATATCCGCCGTCTCGCTAAAATGGTCAACTTTAACTTCCTCCTCGTCGGACGACTTGAACAGCTTGTAATCGTTCGTCGCGGCATTATCGAGCGCTCTCCGAGATTTCCAAACGGATTCCGCCTCTGTCTCGTTGTCGAATATTCTCGTCGATCTCCCGTCGCTTTTTATCGGGTCGTTCGCGAAAGCCGATACGTTTGCGGTTTTCTTCGCAGCATTATCATCCTTTCGCGACGTCGCGTCGTCTTGCCTCCCGGATTTGCCGATGGCAAACGTACTTTCGCGGGGCTTCGCGTTCCGATCGAATTTCTGCGGCATCCTCGCTCTTAAAGTTCTCTCAAAACCGTACACCTTCTCGATGCTCGTGTCCAAAATTTCATAAAGCTTATCCGCGCTATCGATATCCGTCGAACGCAGCAACGCCAGAGCGTCGGTGAAATCTTTGGTGTCGACGTTGCACGAGGTCAGGGAGGAAGACGCGTCTTCCGCGTCCTCGTACATTTCCTAATTCGACGGCGGCGATATCGTGCGATAAGCACGATGTTCTCCGTCGAACGTTGTATCGCAGCTTTTTAGCTAACGTTCAATTAACCAACGGCACGGAAAGCGAAGAAACATACCGAAACCTCTGGACCAACAAAAGCTTTGCTTCTCCTAATTTCTTCTCATCGACGATTAGTAATGGCGATCGGCGCTGAAAGACGAAAGATCAGAAAGAGTTGTAACGTACTCGAAGAGTACGAAAAATTGTACCTTTCCGGATCGAAACGAAACGACACGAACGTCGACTCGAACAGCAAACACTCGACACACTCGACACACTCGACGAACTCGATTGCGACGATTCTGCATCGAGCGAATGTTAACGTCGATAATGGAAGCGGAACACCTCTGGATCTGGATGGAGACGTTCATTGCGGAACGTTCGAAATCGGAGTATGTACATACTTATGTACGTATGTAGGTAATTGATATTTCTCAACTGGAACTTGTTCTGCTAGTGACTGCGCTATTCATCTATACAGGGTGTCCCAAAAATGTCTCGCAATCTAGAAATGGGAGGTTCCTGGGGTTATTTGAAGCAACTTTTTCCTTAGCGAAAATGCGATCCGCGGCTTCGTTTACGAGTTATTAGCGAGAAACCGTGATCAATGAGACTCGAGATCAGTTAACGGGAGATCAGTTGACGTGAGACGGACGAGCCATTGAGCGGAACCGAGCTCAGTGCGCTCGTTGGCCGGGCCGTCGCGCGCCAGCCGAGCTCGCCTCTCATTGGCCACGGTTTTTCGCTAATAATTCGTAAACGAAGCCGCGGATCGCATTTTCGCAAGGGAAAAAGTTGCTTCGAATCACCTCAGGAATCATCCTCTCGCAGATTGCGAGACATTTTCGGGACATCCTGTATTACGCGTTACTAAGAAATGTCTCCTAGGAAATGAAATTCGATTCTTGAGCGTTATTCGTTGGTCCCGCAATAAGATCTATCGATCGAGAATGTTTTCTATCGCTACGGGGTAGTAAGTAATTAACATGCTTCGATACATTTTTATTTTCTACAAATAATATGTAATATCACAGTACATTTAGAAGTTCACGAAAGTTTTGTTTTCTCGGAATCGTAAGACGTTTCATCGATACAATTAATATCGCGATATTTTCCCTAGAACGTTTTATTTTACCGAATATCGATCTTCGTTCGTTCAATACTTCCTTAAGCTTTTTCATAACAACTTTTTTGGTATTTTCAGAACTTCCGTTTAGATAAAATTTAGATAAAAAGATTTAACCCTTTGCGGACGAGTGTCGGCAAATAGCCGCCTATTATTATTTATTAATTTATTAACGCCATGTCGTCCGATGGCACCACGCTGGTGCCATGCAAAAACTATCTGTTGTATGCCGGTGGTACCACTTTGGTGCCATTTTAAAAAGACTGAAATAACATTTGAACTATATTTCTTGCGTGTTAAAAGGCAGCGAACTAACTATAGCATTGTGCTTATTTAACTAAGAATTAAGTACGAAAATTCTTGGACGACTTGTCTTAATTTTAGGAATTTATATTACCGCCATCTTCGAAATTTTTGTTAAAATCTAAAATTTCCAAGCTATCATTCCGGCGTCGAACAAAAGAATTATATCTAAGATTTGCGGACGGCATAGTGTTAATTATTAATATAAATGTATTAATTTAACCGTAGGTTCAGAACGAATTTCAGTTCGACGAGTCAGTCTTTCTGTGCCACTACCAGAGAAACCAGCAAAGTTTTCCACATATTTATAATTTTATAATAACATAATTATATCTTATAACATTTTTATTTTATATCCAACACCTGTCGTCCACAGCGACGCAATACCCGTCGAGCGGCTTCGTTCGCAAAGGGTTAATACGCCTTATTCTCTAGATATAAAATTAATTATGTCCGACTCCGCAGCTCCAGAGAAATCTCGAAGAGAACTCGCAGTTTTCTACGATCCGGTGTGCCGGAATCGATTGAGAGATCGGCGAGAGAGATCGTCGAAGAAAGTCTTCGTTTCGATAATTATGGACTTGCGATGTGTTCTCGCCCTGCAAGCAGAGTACCAGAATCGAGTGGAATCCAGCTGAGAAGCCGGAGTCGGTAGACGTCGAACGAGTAGGATTATTCGCCGGTGGATCGGAGCAGGAGCCGGGGAACAATGTCGGAAACGACGAGGACGGTATGCCGAGATATGCAGGATATCGCGCAAACTGCGATCCTTCGAGATCGAGGGCAAAGGCGCGGGATCGGCGCGGCGGGTGGTGGCGGCGGCCGGGAGCACGGGGTGCGGAGCGCCGGCACGGGGCACGGAGCACGGGGCACGGGGTCGGGGTACGGGTAACGGATAAGGGTGCGCGCGAGTAAACCTGGATCCGTATCCCCGCCTGGTTTGCCCCCTGCCTTGTCCTATCCTGCCCTATCCTGCCCTTGCACCACCACCACCGGCGAAACCCGGCAACCCCGACAGCAACGCCAGCACCGAGAGAATACGTCTAAGTGTATTACCTCCGAGAGCTCACCGTACCACCTAAATATGTAATAATATCTACTGGAGATACCGACATTCCTCGACCTCGAGAAGAATTCGATCAAAATGTGTCGCGATATTCCCCTGGTATGCCAGGTGAGCTACGCGTCTCTCGACGTTGCCCCGTCCTTTCCAGCCACCATTTACCCTCTCTCTCTCTCTCTCTCTCGCTCTTTCCCTCTAGTCTCCTTCCTGCTTTCTTCTTTCTTCTTTCTTCTTCTTCGTTTCTTCGCTTCTTTGTCTCGTCGTTTCTTCAGTTCTGCGCCTCTACATTTTCATACTTCTATATTTTCAACTCGATCCGAGCGCATTACTTTGGAATGTCTACGTACGCGCGACCGTGCAACCCCTGGCAACAAGTATTGGAACACACCTTTTAAAAAGGAGTAACTTTGTTTTTCAAGCTCGTCTAGGTCTAGTGACGCTCTGGTTACCGTTTAGAATTAACTTTATGTTCTTCGAATAAGACGTACAGAATTTCCTTTATTCAGAAACAAACGAAATAAAAGAATGTCAATATTTTTTTATTGAAAAATAAACGATATAGAAGAATGAAAAATGTTTGTATTCACAAATAAATAAAAGAGAAGGATAAGGAAAAAGATTTAATATTAATATAACAATATAATAATAATATTAATATAATAATATAATAATAATATTAATATAATAATATTATAATAATATTAATATTATAATATAATAATAATATTAATATTATAATATAATAATAATATTAATATTAATATATAAAAAGCGAATTATGCCCGAAAAGAAACCAAGGGCACAGCGATTGGTCCGCCCACGGTGACCGGGGCGCCGCTGCCCCAGTCCACTTTGAAGAAAGTTATCGCGTTTTAAAAGGGTTAGCATTCCGGCAACGGTTCTGCTAGTTTGTTGCTCGATTTGACGATAAATCGGTCGAAGACTAACAATTAGCTACAGATGAAGAGTAAATATACATGGATTATGAGTAGTATTGGTTTAGATAGTATTGGTACGATTTAGTATGATTCCACGATATTTCAGGCATTTACGAAATAAGGCTTTCGGCGATATTTTAATATCTTTTTTCTTGTCGTTCGCGCAAATAAATCTCCGAGGTGATAAGTTTCGCCCGGTATCCCACCCTCGCGGAATATCCGCCGCTTATAAGAAATGTTTTCCAAGTTTATGAGGTGATGCGAAGGTTTACCGTAGGATGGATCGAACGAACGCCTCTACTCCTTCTTTTTTTTTAAAATAACGGAATCAACGGGGAAGAGGTGAAGGCAACGTAAAACACGCAAATAAAAATATTCCCTGGCGAAAAGGAAAATTACTACGACGACGATGCCAGACATTCGAGAAAACGTTCAAATTGTAGGCGAAATATAATACAAGGTAAAGATTCATCGAGGGAATCTTTTTTTTAAAAGGATATTTAAAGCGCTCGTCGAGAGAGAGAGAGAGAGAGAAATACGTACATAATTTGATCGCGCGGTTGTTCTATGCGCACGCTATTCGCATACAATTTGGCCATTGTCGTAACGTCACAAATTAAAGCGGAAACTAGAATTGGCCAGGTTCTGCGTCCTCTGCCGTAGTTCCATACAATGCCGGAACAATAGATGTAACTTCTGCGTACCTATAATTTCAAGTTTGCTCCAATTTCTGTTGAATCGGTTGATGCATCGCGCTGTCAACACTGAAATTAAACGATAAATACTTTCGCTCGGATCACCGTTCTAGCCAGATCGGAGCATATCAGACGAAGACGAAGACGAAGACGAAGACGAAGACGAAGAAGACTGAACGTAGCTGGAAGATTCTTGCAACGGTCAGGTTCGGGTGTCATCGATCGCCGATGTCGATGAACTTGTGTGTCGATACTAAATTAAGTTATTAGATACGACCGAATGCAAAACACCTGATCGTGTAACACGGTGAAATGGAGAGCATCGGATTGGCGCAGTCGCGTGTGCGAAGTTTCATTTAACGCTCGAATAGCGATGTTCTTGCACTTCTTTCACGATATTTTCGTGTTTCATTCGATACCGATACAACGGCGATAGTAACAATTCTGCATCCTTGCGTGGCTCCACAAAATTCTGTTCGCATTAAATGTATCGGTAGAAATTACACAATTATAGGTACAGTAATGTCTCCTTAATTGACGCTCAGATTGTCCACAGAAATAGACAATTTGGGAAGAGGAGATACGATTATTCGAGCTTTGCGACTCGTTTTTATAGTTGTTGAAAGTCGGTAACTACAGGGTGTCCCAAAAATGTCTCGCAAATCTGGAAATAGCGGGTTCCTCGGATCATTTGAAGCAACTTTTTCCTTAGCAAAAATGCAATCCGCGGTTTCGTTTGCGAGTTATTAACGAAAAACAGTGACCAATAAGAATCGAGTACGGCTGACGCGAGGCGGCCCAGCCAACCAGCGTCCAGCGCCCAGGCAACCTAGTTCCGCTCGTTAGAGCGGTCGTCTAGATGTGTATAAGAGACAGGCAAAAATGCAATCCGCGGTTTCGTTTGCGAGTTATTAACGAAAAACAGTGACCAATAAGAATCGAGTACGGCTGACGCGAGGCGGCCCAGCCAACCAGCGTCCAGCGCCCAGGCAACCTAGTTCCGCTCGTTAGAGCGGTCGTCTCGCGCCAGCCGAGCTCGCCTCTCATTGGTCACTGTTTTTTGTTAATAACTTGTTAACGGTGCCTCGGAGACAATTTTTGTAAAGGAAAAAATTGCTTCAAATGACCTGAGGA